GGTTTGGGTCAGGTTTAACCCGAAGCCCAAAGCCCTGAACCCTAACGTCTAAGTTTTAGGCAGTGTCCGTAAACCATGACCCCCAAATCCCATGTCCTTAGAAGCATTCCCGAAGCTCACAGCATCGCTCCCATCGAGGACAGGCACCGAATCTGAACCCCACTCATTTCAGAGAAACCAATCCATTAGCCGATTTAGATTAGTAGTAGTGCAAGCAAGTAGTAGTCGTCGGCGCCGTCATCGTCATAAAATTGTCTACTTTCACGGATCTTTCAATTCAGAGGCTTACTTATACTGCTTGAAGGCCCAGGTTTGCAATTTGGTGCTTATTAGTACTTCTTGGCATGAGCTAGTGCAGGGCTTGGGGGTACATATTCACTTTGGGTTTACCTTGGAATCTCGGCGGACTGTATAAGTAAGTACAGCTACGTGAAAGCCAAGGCTTGGTTGCTGGCTCGAAGGTTCGAAATTCCTTTGAGGTGTCGGGAGGTTTTAGGTTAGGGGTCTGTTAAGGGTTGGCATTCGAGAGTTCAGGGATTAGTTGTGTTTCTTTGTTTCGGGCGGCTAGGGTTTATGCCAGTGTTGTTTGGTGTTTACTTGTTTGATGGATGTTGTGTTCCTTGGGGGGAGGAAATGATTGTTTTGTTGTCGATGTTGTTGGTGGTCCGTGTTTGCCTGCCTTGTTGCTGCATTGCTTGTTGCTTTGCTCGGTATATGGGGGGTGTGATGACGGGTGATCGGGATGTTCTGCGTGTGGTCTTCTGTGCACTGGCGCTGTTGGCGAAGAAAATCGTGGTGCCAGGCACTTGCAGTTAGCCACCCGTCCTCTCATCATCTGGCACGAAAGGCAGCTCAGCTGGCCCCGTGTCGGTAACCACTCCGAATACTGGATTGTGGGAGATGGGTGGGGCTGGACCTCGCGGTTGGCCGTGCAGGAGGGCTCATCCAAAGACCCGGTGATGCTAGTGTGGACCTCTTTCTTGGCAGCGCCCTGTGGGGAAGCAACTCCATGGCCGACCCTTGCGGGAGAGCCCTCTGGTTTGGCTTCCATGGCCCGTCCATGATCGAGAGCGCCGAGAGGCCGGACACACGACCCGGAGCCGGCGAGGAAGAGTGAGACTCACGGCGAGTGAGCTTGGTCTACCCTTCTGGAGTGTTCTGGGCTGCTTTCTTCCGAGCCTGGCGTCGGTCACGGAGGGTGGTGGCGAGGGTGTTATTGTGTCGGGCAGGGTCTGCTGCGATGAGTCGTGAATGCTGCTTTTGGTGACGTGGCTGGTTGTTGTTTTTTGTCGTTGTCTTTGCTTTTTCTGTTGTTGTTGCTGTTGTTGGTTGTTGTTGGTGGTGGTGCTGCTGCTCTTAGTGTTGATGTTGGTGTTGTTGTTGGTGGTGTTGTTGTTACGTTGTTGTTATGGTGGTGTTACGTCGTGGTGTTGTCGTTTTGTTGT